ATCGGGAACTGAGGTGTTTGCGTAAGGAGTATGCCGCGTCTGTGAATCGGTGTTTGTATGTGCCAAGATGGGGATCTGTTGGTGGTGCTAGTAGCGTCATCTTGACGAGATATTCGTAATATGAATCGTGTCCACCATCCCAGTGCCTCTGGCGCCCCACTGGTTCTCCTGTCATGATGTCGACAGGCGCGTCAACCATGCCTGGCCACGGTGTCTTCCACTTCGACCATACAAGTGGTGCCCACGCGTTCGTCGAGTTTTGCGTGTATGTCAAGTTGCCAGTCAGCCTGGTCAAGACGCGGTTTTCGAGGATGGAAGAGCCAGTTCGCGCAGGGCCTATAGCGGGGTGTTGGTCGTAGCCGTGTTTGGTTGGGTCGTCGCTGAAGACGAAGGAAGGATCTGGCTCGCCCTGCTCTGTCTCAAAGTCGACACGAGGCCATGGCATGCCTGTAGGGGTGTCATATGCTGGAGCAAGCTTCCCCGCTAGGGTTACAGCGTGTTCCAGTACAAGATCGCGTGCCTCTTCGCTCAGTACGTCTTCCGGAATGAGCCCGGTGTCATACATGTCCACAATAGACAAAAGCCCGCCCAGGTATCGTATCGTGGTCTCAAATGGGTCGACGAGGTCCTTCGCTTCGTTGAAGTCGATAGCGAGTATATGCTCGAGAGAGTGCGCCAGCTCGTCCCATAGCCCCATGAGTGCCAATGTGCTCGCGGAGTCCACGATGAAAGCCCCCCACCCGTTCCTAGATGACGAGTTGCCTCCCGAAACAGGCTGGATATCATCGCACCCCCAGGCGTTCTCCCTGTACTTCCAGAAGGTATATTTCATGGCATCCCGCACGCTCTTCGCGCGTGCCTCGTCCGCCTTGCCCGTTCCATTCCAATCCGCATGTTGTATTTGTGCGCCAAACTTCGGTATGTCCCTCTCTCGAACAGTCGGGTTCTGGAACTCCTTGATGAGGAGGTAGAGGGTGATGACAATGATGGCCGCGAGGAGCTTGAACGACGACTCGGGATTCCGCTCGAATTTGGACTTGCCCCAGCGGCGGAAGCCGGGCATAGTTAAAGAGTGGTGGAGGCCTTATGGTGCTGGCGGAGGCGCTCAAGAGGCGGGTGGTAATAGCGCGCACATCTGCCCAGGTGGTCTCAGGGTGCGGAGTGGGTGCGGAAGTGCGGCGATCGATGTTCAAGGTTCCAGGCTATGAGGCCATGCTTGGCTCGAACGGGATGACTATCGCGTGGTGAATGAAAGAACGGTGTTCAATGCTAATGAGTGAATGTACGAGACGAGTTTACACATGTGAACGCTGACGTCGTGTCGCGCTCGAGTCTGAGAGCTGCTTCAGGCTTGGCGCTGAGCCCTCAGCGTCGTCATCGCGAACTTTGCGACACCAACGCGTGTGCACATCCTCATCCTCGACATGGCTGTCTGGCAGTACGTGCGCACCCTGCATATGTACGTTTTCATCACTAACATTGATATAGATGGTTCAAGAACATACCGCCCAAGACGCGCATGATCATTGGCGTGGGCGTCATGGCGTACGCGGGCGCTGGCCTCTACATATCCGACAAGGCTGAGGAGAAATTTGGCCTTACCCCGACCGAGAAAGATCGAGAGCAACTTCAAGATGTGATACCTAAAATCTCAACTATCGAGAAGCGGACATAGTAATTCACCGCATCGTGTTACTATGAAATGCATTGCTTCTCAGCACGCGGCATTGCAGACCTGGTATGGAGCAACTATCTTTCCGACTCGTGGAGACGGTGAAACAAAGGCTGATGGTTCTCAACCAGATACACAGCCTCATTTTCGCCAAATAGCCTCGGCGTGTCTTGTCGTAACGGAACATCTTTCCAAAGTAATCATTACTTCGCGAATAAATTAATCATACTCGCAACGCCACACTTCTATTAGCCGTCTCTGAACCACACTCCAGAGCTTGACCACTAGACACTTAGAGGACGACGACCGAGGCTGTGCATGGTCGCGAGTATCAACACGGCATAGCGTCAGGAGACAAGACTTACCGATGAACTGCAGCTGCCTGCATGCATGGCGCAGTGCATAGGTACGACAAAATCCTACCACTTGCCCCAGCCTTCTATCGTTCTTTTAACGCAGCCTGATTCTATTCATCGTGAGCTTTTGTCGTTCGTCGATAAGACATGCAACGTCACCTTCGTCGCATCAATGGAACCTTCACCAGAGAACGAACACCGCCAACCAACGAGACCCGGATACAGCAGAGTAATAAACGCCTGCGGTCATTGTCGACGAAGAAAGTTACGATGTCTTGTTGTCTCGGCCGACACTCAAGGCCGATGTAGCAACTGCATCCGTCTAAAGAAAGAGTGCAACTTCATGTCCGAGATTGAAGCGAGGCGCAACCGGAAAGAGCGCGTGACCTTAGGAGAAGAGCGCGTGACCGTAGGAGAAGAGCTCGATAAGCAAGCCCGGGAAATCGCAACCGAATCATTGGTCAACAGCTGGAGCTACTTCCGTACAGAAGAGGCAAGAGGAAGGACTCCAGTTGGCTCCAACGCCACTGCGCCCATTCACTACTCCGAGAATGAAAGAACACGATCACAATCACCAGCAGGTAGCTTCTACCATGGCGACTCCCCGGCCCGAGATATGTCTCCTATCGGGCGGCCAGCTCACTCTACTGGTCCTGCTTTTGACATAGAAGCCTTCTTGTCTAGTCAGAAGACCTTCATGGATGCAGAACCTTCCGAGAAAACCTCCATACCTTTAGTTCGGAGACCGCGTCGAGCTGTGGAGGATACGTTGGGCTACCAGTATACCCCTCTGCTGGGCGATGAGATCCGCCTTCTCCGCATTAGCCCTGCTCCATTTGAAGATCCGTTGTCTTGTTCCTTGAAGATCGTTCCCATGGAACCGCTCACAACAACGCTCCACGAATTCCAGGCACTTTCGTACGCATGGGGTGCTGATACTCCTTCAAATCCTATAACCCTCAGCGACCTTCCTAGATCAGGCGAAGACTCATTCACTACCGCAGTGACGCAATCCTACACGTACTTAGTTCGAGACAACCTCTACGAAGCCTTGCGACACGTCCGTCTCACGGATCACTATTCGTGGATTTGGGTAGATGCTTTGTGCCTCAATCAAGATGACCAAGCCGAAAAAGGCCAGCAGATCCCCAAGATGGCTGACATCTACTCAAATGCATGGAACGTCATTGCATGGCTTGGAGGGGACGAATTTACTCCATGGAGCCTCAAGTGGGCCGTAGAACTGGTGCCAGACATCTTGAATCTCAAAACCCTCGATACCGACCTGCGAGGAGAGAACCCCAGCGAACACGTACTTCGCTCTTGGGTCGCTTTCGGTAGAATTCTGCAACGGCCGTGGTTCAAACGCCGGTGGGTTATTCAGGAAGTAGCATGTGCAAGGAGATTATCTGTGCGCATAGCCGACCATATCTTGAGCTGGCTGGATTTTGCGGATGCTGTGGAACTGTATTCGGATAACATCGACCAGATGCGAACACTATATCGCCAATCTTCGCTATACGAAACCGCTCCTAATGCTTTGGACTGTATCGAATGTTCACAGGCTGTAGCGCTGATGACGTTCTCGCGCAACATTTTCCGAAAGTCGACGGATTCATCCATGGTCTCCAGATTGATGAACTTGGAGACGCTAGTCCTGGCAGCCTCACCTTTTGCGGTGTCAGACAACCGAGATGTAGTCTACGCCTTGTTATACCTTGCGAAAGAGAAAGAACGCGTTGTTACCGCGCAGGTTACAGTACTTGATGATCACCCTGTTTTCACGTCTGATTATTCAAAGCATTCAGTAGACATCTTTGGAGAATTTGTCCGGTATAGCATAGCTACTTCAAAATCTCTGGACATCCTGTGCCGGCCTTGGGCGGATTGGCCACGCGTCCAACGTAGGATCCTTTACCAGGGACGATGTCTGCCCTCATGGATTGGAGTAGCTTCGTTCGAAGGTGCTCGTCGACGCCGCTTTCGAGCCTCTTGGATGGAAGAGTCATACGAACCTCCTTGTCGTACACGACACGTGCCACCGGAGAACCTGCTAGGTCCAGTTGGCGGTCGGGTCTACGATGCGTCTCGCGGCGTGGCCGTCCAAACTCATATAACGTCATCGGAAGAGCAGATGGCCTCTGCAATTTCAAGCAGTTCAAGTCATGAATTCGACGCCGAGCTCAACATGATGCCACCCCTGTTGCGACATCAGCCAGGATCCGACCTTGTGCTTCATGCCAGAGGCATGATATTGGGCAGAATCACGACCGTTTCCCCATCACCCACCAGAAAAGGGCTACTCGAAGACGAATGGCTTAGGACGCTTGGATGGCAGGGAACTTTGGAACAGGATATAGACGAACAGCTTTGGAGGACTCTCGTTGCGAACCGTGATCCAGAGTCAAAAGTTGCCCCTACGTGGTACCGACGCGCATGTGCGTTGGCACTTACGAAACTTGATGAGTTTGGTAATCTAGATACCACAGCCTTGATAGCCGATCCATCGCAACCAGGTACACTGGTGAACTACCTCAGACGCGTAAAAGAGGCGACGGAAAACCGGCAATCTTTCCAGTGTGAGAATAGCGACAGCGCTCAGCTAGACACCATCATAGGTTTTGGGCCGGAACACTTACGGCTTTGGGGACGAAGAGAGATGGTTTGTATTTTGTACGGATCGTCGGTGCCGGTCATACTCCGTTGGCACGAAGACCGGGATGGTACCACTGTCGCGAGACTCATCGGGGCTTGTTATGTTCATGGGCATATGGAAGGAGAACTCTTTGCTGACTTGAGCGAGGAGGAGATCCAGAAGAGATCGACAACGTTCAACATTCATTGAAGTTTGCTGGGATCTTCACAACACAAGCTAATGTACACACGAGATCAATAGATCTTCCCTCACATCACACAAAGATGACAAACAAACACCTTGGTCTATGTTCTACCCGCCTCCTTCATCCTGTCTCCTACTTCCATTCCTCCGGCCACTTATCCTTATCATTACTATAATCCGGCAATTCGACGCTCTTCTTATCAATCAATCTTGTCTGTGGAAACAATTGCTCTTCGCAAAAGTTCTTCAGACCCTCCGTGTTCTTTATAGCGTACTTTTTGCGCTGGTCAAACGTTCCCAAGCTTCTCCAAAGCCTAATCTCTTTCACACTCGCATCAGTCAAGGGGTCCTCAGCAGCCCAGGTCTGAAACGTCTTCTTATATATGCGCTCGACACAGCAGCGTGCGATGTGCGCCTTCATCGATAGCAACGTCTCTCCAATATCGTCAAGCAGTGGTTTTCTCACTTCAGATGGAAGTTCCTTGACCCAGAGGGCGAGATCAGACTCTTTCATATCGCGGAAATCCGGGGCTTCGCCTTTGCGCCTTTTCTTCGCCCGTGCATCTGCTTCTGCCTGGGCACGCTTCCGTTTGGCACCCGTAGCCGTATCTTCCGGCTCGTCTTCAACATCAGACTCAGACTCAAACTCTTCCTCCTCAGATTCAGAGAGTCCATTCAAATCTCCAGGGTTGAGACTCTCAGGCTGGGCAACCACAGGCTCAAAGCTCGAATTTACCGAGTTTCGCGCCACTGCTTCGTACACGTAGCTCTTGGGATAATAACTGGAGACTCCCTTGAATGAGATGTTACCAAGCTCTTTGACGCTCTCATTCAGCTTCGCAACCATTTCGTCGACCTCTACTTCTTGACGCCCCTCAAAAATTGGATGTTCCAGCCAAACCTCCATATCCGCTTGAGACAAATCTTCGTACGTGCTGAACAGCTTCTGGAGAACAGATTTCTGGCCCCAAGTGTCCATTGGACGTGTAGTTTCGGCAATTTTGGACGGAAGCAGATCGACAAATTCTTCAACTTGATCATTTGCCATGTGCGTGAAGTTTGCAATTTCTTGGGCAAGCATACTGTTGATCACGAGAATGTTCGGGAGCTCCGGCTGAGGTGGAGATTGCTGGCTTGTAGCCTTTGGATGGGTTGAAGTTTTCGAGGGTTTTGACGGCTTTGAAGGCTTCGAAGTCTTCGAAGTCTTTGCAGGTTTTTGAGATCCCGGAGGCCCTTTGGGTCCTAGTGGACCTTTTCGTCCCGAGGGTGTTTTTTTGGCGGTCGATACAGGCTTGCTAGAGGTCTTCTCATACTTCTCCTTCATCCGCTTCAAGATCTCTGCCTGAGTGGGTCGGATGACCAGTCTGCCATCTTTCGCGTAGACGTCACGTTTGGGAATTTTATCCTCAGAACCTAGCGTAAAGACATTGAGATCACGGATCCAGATACCAGCACGGTCTTTCTCATTTTTGAACGTCCCACCGTGTTTCACGAAGAGGATGGCCCTGTACGTGTAGTCGTTTGATAGTTCTCCAATTCGTGGGTCTTCTCGAATCTCTTTTGTCGCGTGCTTCATGAGCGTGGCGTGGTCGATCGTGGCCCACTGGATTGTTGTCGGATCTGGTTGTGCAATATTAGATGCATCATTAGGGCCGGATGAAGGCTGACCGGCGTTTGGATCATCACCTCCATCAACTTCCTCGCCGCCTCTCTTCCTCTTCTGTCCATGTACCTCTCGATACTCACGAGGCGGCCAATGCAGTGGACTCTCTGCCAAATACGGCAGCTTCTCCATCGCATCACCCTGGTAGTAGTACCACGTCAACCACCATCTCGCGACCCCCAGATCTTGCTTCCCAGCTTCTAACATATGAGGATCGCTTGCGCGCCATTCATCGACATCCCTATCCGTCATGTCTGCGAATTCGCCAATGAACATGCGATACAGAAGTCCACGGGCGACATCATAGCGAGTGACACCCACCGCATCTTGTACGACCTTCTGCGCGGTAGGATGCAAGTTCTTGACCCAGATGTCCACGCCTGCATTGGATAAAGAAGCGAACAATGGCAGAGCCAGGTCCAAATAAGTCTGGTCTAGACGTTCTGCGATAGTTTCAGATGTCCAAGTTTGAGAGCGTTCTGCGAACGTGAAAGCATGAGAATGAAGGTAGTCTCTGAGAACCGCCGCGTTTTCGCTTCTGAAGCTACCTTTAAATACGCTGTGGAGCACCGCTCTGGACGTTTGAAGGGCAAGACTTCTCGAATCGTCGACCTTGAGGAGGTCGTCTTTGTATGTCGCGTACCACGGTTCCGAACTGTCCATCTTCAGTTGGTCGAATGCGGGTAGGTTATCCTTGCTGAAGCCTTTAGGGAACTTGTATTCCGGATTCTTGGTGAGAACTCCATGCTTTCTTCGTTGGAAGTTGCGCGCAATGTCGTCCTGGTTTTCTTTGAACGCCTTTACAACTTCATCCAGACGATTTCTGGAGTATGGCTCGCCTTCTTGTAAGTACATCTGGTACTGGGCCCGCGAAACTCCGTCGTGCTCGTCTGGCCAGCCATCGTCGTCGCCGTCACTACTGTCACCGTCACTGCCTGGCCCGTTTCTTGAGCTTCTGTTGTCACCTGGCCCAGGTGGAGTCCTCCGATTTGGATTCAAGGACGCGACCGCATCGCATAGTTGACCAGTACTAGGAAGACTTAGGATCTGCACAACGCGCACACTCATTTTGTACGGCAGAACGTTCTCGCCCAAGTCCTTGTCAGCCTCTTTTCGAATAATCTCCTGCATGTCTCTGCGTGTTTGGAGCGAGTTGAACGCCATTTTTTGTGGGTGCTTTCTCCTATATCTCGAACTGAACGCACTGCAAAGTCCGCCCGCGTCGGTGAGGAATCTCGGGTTATCCAAGATGTACTTGAGCATGGCGTAGACCCAGGGCCCGCATGCTGAGCCTTCGTCACCTCGGTAGCTGTTGTCCTTGGTATCGTGAGGGACGTGTTTGAGTGTGGCTGCCGTGAACGCTCCTCGCTCTAGCTCCATAACTTTGTCATACCCGCAGAGAATCTTCCCGGCGACCCACGCAGGATGTGGTTTATGCATGTTGTGTATGTACCAATGCTTGTTGCGTTTCTGTTTTACGTTTAGGTGGCCGTCTAGCCATCTGGCATCATTTCTCTCCTTGTCGATTACCATGAAACCCCAATGAGTGCCACCGGAAGAAGTCATCTCAGGCTCACTTTCTTGTTGCACTTCCGTGTTGCCATTTGGGTCTCCTTCTTTGTTGGTAACCAGCACCTCAGCTTCTTTGGAAACCTCTTGCCTGACCTGCTCTTCCTCTCCTGTCTCCCCTTGGTCTTTAGCTTTCGCGGTTTTAGCTCTCCATCTCATGATCCTTTTTGCTGTGCGCTCATCGGCCATACCATCCGTCACAGGTATAACAATCCATCGATATTCCTCTTGCTGCATAGCCTCGTAAATCGATAGAGCATCCTTTTTGAATCTGTCTTTGTCGTCAACACATAAGCCGATACGAGCAAGTATGATGCCAGCATTTGTTGGTACAAAGAGGATATCGGTTCGTTTCTTTTGTACAAGAGTTAGCAGAGCCATAGCCAACTCTAACTGGTGTCCTTCCAGCCAACTATGATGACGGTCCGTTTTCGCGGTTGCAACGATGTTGACAAAGTCCTCCATTGTGACTGCAAGAGTATTCCCTAAATGAGGATAGTTGATATAAACTTGGTCTATCCATCTTTTTATCACGGCTTCGTTGGTTTCTGGCACGGGCGCGACCGGTGCAGCGGGCGCAGCGGCTACCGCAGGAGCTGGGGCACCTTCGCCATTATCGTTACTGGCCAGCGAGCCCTGTTCGCCGTCTGTGGACATGGCAGTCTCGGTATGATCATTCGCCGTGGTATAAAGTAGGATAGATTGCTAAGGCTTTGGACGTTCACGAACACGGGTAGCACTCGAAGAGGATATGTAGCATCTTCCTCGAGTTCTTCGAACAAAGCCGAAGACACTTGCAAAAAGGATGCGGTGCAATGAACAAAGACACCAAGGTAGATAGCAACACCCTTTGTCGAGTATCGGACGACACCATCATTGTCCGAGTCTCTTTCATGTCCGTTTTGGGATGGCAAGATGAGCAGCTGATCTAGTCGTTAGCGAAGACATGAGGATAGTCGCCTGTAAGAGGAAGTAAACATTGTGAATCTTCAATTAAATAGCTATCGAGATGTTTGATCTGCTATGGAAGTGTCAGCTACAAGACCAAGTCCACGACGGTTATAGACGAATGCCGGGAAAGTGGTAAATACCGATCCATGCTGCCGGTACCCCCTGGCACCTTTGTCATACCCGTCTATCTCCATTGTCTTGCCGGCTCTGGCGGCACAACCTGTCGGTCCTCTGCACCTTCCCTAATCAAGTTTGCCGGATCCGTGAACGGATTTGCATGCGCTTCTAGGTCCTCGGGCGACGCTTGTGATGTCGCGGTCTTCGGCTGCTGGCCTGGGGTACTATCTATGAACGTGAGACCGAAGTTGTTCAACGGAACGGGCGTCGCCTGAGCACTAAGACTCGAAGAAGGAAAGTCGTGAAGGTTTTGTTGGGCGGGGGTAAGGGAAGAAGCGCCGCTGAGGTCGTCTAGTCGCATCGACTGTTGCGCATCCGTCTTGCGGTTGATGTATGCGGCAGCGAGCGCGAAGCCGAAGTAGATAGCCATGCTGATACTAATTAGCTCATTTCCCCAACATCACCATCCATGTATTATCATAAAACTTACCAAACCGCTCCCAACATGCCCAAAACCTCACAACCCCGTTCAATTCCCTTTGCCCATCTACTCCATCTATCCAACGTGTACATCGTCTTATCGTACTGCCAACACGAATCCCTAGTGAGAGCCACAGTGTGCTCCAAACTATAATCGATCTTGCTACTGGGGAAAGTATTCATCCAAACAGTGCCCAAAGCGACCAGCACGAAGTAGACGGCGAGGCAGGTGGACCAAAGCATGCCAGCACGGTTGGAGATGCGTGCGGAGCGGTAGTGGCTCCGAAGAAGAAGGAGGAGATCGATGACTAGGAGAAGCGGGTTGAAGATCAGGATTGCTATGATCGTGCTGCGAGGATGTTTGGTTAGCATATCCTCATAGATGGGGAAGTACGACAGCAAGACAAAACTTACAAAATCCCTCCCCTTTCCTTCCCACTCAGATACTCGGGCCCTATCAGCCCCGGGTCCGTACTATTAATCCCAACATCCATCCCATGCCAGAACCTTTCGCGATCCACATTCGCATACAGCACCGGCAACGTCTTCACGACCTCAGTCAACACAATTCCATACGTATCCCCGTATATCCCATACTTGGTGAAGTCAAAGTTGCTACCGGCATCCACATTCAAGCATTCGACTTCGCTTTGGGGAGAGGTGAGTAGACGGTGGGCCATGGCGACGCACAAGCCGAGCTGCGCGACGGCGAAGAGGATGGAGAGGAAGAGGAGGATGTCGGTTGCGAGGCCGGTGCGGGAGGGCCAGCGGGTGGAGCGGGAGTGGGTGAAGAGGGTGAGGCAGGAGCGGGCTTCCTTGAGGGGGTTTGTGCGGGGGCGCGCCATGATGGCGTTGTTGGTGGTGAGAGGTTTGTATTCTGGTGTCGTTCTTTTGTTAGTGGTGGGTGACTGGAATAGTTATCTGGAAGTCGAAAGGACAAGAAGGAAAGGTGAGCAGGACAGGATTTATCCATCCCTCAATCTCTCAGGGTTTGTGGTGTCGTCTTCTGGTAGCGGTACAGTGAGTACCGTGGGTGCGACGCCGGAAGCGAGGGGGAGCCATGATACCATCTTCAAATGTGAGAATATGGGCTTATCGCATCTCTGAAATGAAGCAACGACGATAGCGTCGCCGAGAACCCACGCGAGGCGAACGAGGAAAGAGCGACCGGTCGGAAAGGTATCAACTTAAATTGGCAGCTACATAGAAACATTGATCGGGCTCGGGGCTTCGCAGGGGGTGTACATGCTTGCGTAAAGCAAAAGGACAAAAAGGGCTCATGACAGGGTGACAAGGAGATTAAGATCGTAATCAAAAGAGGTATTGCAAGTTGTTTACATGCGGCTGCGATAGGGCCTAGGGACAGCCGGCTGGAAGAGCCTATCCGGCAGCCTGTTTCCATACTGATCGAAGCGGTAGTCCTCCTTTTGTTCAATCCACATCTGCCCAGCAAGTTAGCCTTGTGCTAACAGCTAGAGCTTGCTACCGTAGGGGCGGGGCGGGTAGCCAGCAGTGTTGTAACCACTCACCTCGCGGTCGGCGTAGTTCCTGTCCAACGGCACTGGTTGTGGATTTAGTATTTCTTCGTCGCCAAAGCCCGCGTCTCCTTGGAACCTACGCGAATAGTGCGCTGCACCAATGGGTTGCGGGGCGCCGTATTCGGCGTACGCAGGGGCTCGAGGGCCGTACTGACCTGGGCGTTGGGCGCGCGCGTTGCTCTGCATCCAGGAGTCGCGCTCGGGGAGACGGTCCTCGTACGATTCAGGGCGGCGGCCGAGGGGCTCGGGGAAGCGCGGGTTGTAGGTGCCTTGAGTCTCGATGGGGTACTGAGAGCGGTAGTGGTCTTCCTGCTGGTAGCGCTCGTCGTAGTGCGTCTCGTAGCGGCCGTCACGACCTTGCTGTTGTTCGAAGTGGGCGTCGTAACGGGGAGCAGGGCCGCGGTCGTCGAAGTGCTGGGGTCCGCGCTGGTGTTCGTCGATGTACACGTCGCGACGCTCTTCGTAGTGAGCTGGGGGCTGACGGTCGCGCTCAACCCAGACATCGCGGTGCTCCTCTACGTGTCGCGGCGGCGCGCCATCACGCTCGACCCAGACATCCCTCTCGATGTGCGTCGTGTGGGCGGCCTGGGGTTGGGGCTGGGGCTGGGGAGGCTCCTGATGGATGTCGATGTCGATGTGCGTCTCCTTGGTGGTCGCCTTGGGCTTCTTGGGCTCCTCGACTGGCTCCAGAGCAGTCAGGTAGCCGATGACCTCGCTGAGACTGGAATGCGCGATGGCGAGCTCCTTCTCCCGGTTCTCGAGCTTCTCCTTCTCGCTGAGCAGCCAGTAGACGCGGTGCCGCATGCCGATGCGGCGGCCGTCCTCGACATCGCCGGCGACGCGTTCCGTGTGCGGCGTGATGTTCTCAAGGGCGCCGCGCACGTCGCGCATGCATCCGTAGACCCACTTTGACTTTTCCGGGTTGGCCTCGAGGATGTCGTGGATCTCGCGGATGGACAGCAGGCGTCGCACTTCATCGAGGTCGGATCGGACGCGGCCAATGATGCGCACGTAGACGGCGTTGGATGGGCCAACGTCGCGGACGCGCTTGGCCTTGGTGAGGAACTCGGCGAGCTTGTAGGCACCCCCAAGGGCACCGGCGGCAGCACCGAGCGTGAGGATCTCTCCTTTAACCATGACGGGCGGTGAGGTGGCAGCTGCTGGGAGCTACCGGCTTGGTGAGGGTGATGTTCAATTGAGTGAAAGGGTGCCTGCGTCTCTGCCTGTACCTGGCGCGAGCATCCCGCGCAGGTTCAACCGGCGTGGAAAGTGGGGATAGGCGCTTTGGTGAGGTGTGAAGAGAGCAGAGTTGTTGTCGCTCAGCTACTCAGGGCAGCATTGACAGGGGCCGTAGCTGTTTAGTGTTATTCGGGGGCTGGGTGCTAGCCACATGGAGGCGCTCTAGCCTGCAGCTCGTCACTCCTCGCGACCAACCCGAGGTCTGAACTCCCCCAGAGCTCCACCCACGAACATGTGGCTTCCATCGCTTGCAACCGACGAGCTGATCGTGTTCATCGCGGAGATCCAGAGCGGTGAGGACACACGCTGGCCTCGCCCAAAAACTGCCATTTGTCTGCGGTAAACAACATCTCCACGTCTTGTTTACTCCGTCCTGATACGCGCCTGGATCATCCCAGCTCGCCATGTCAGCTCCACTCGACAACGCACCGACCTGCCTGAAACTTGACACTCAAAACCTTGCTTTATTTACCGTATTTCGCAATGAACGCGCGAACTTTGGGGTCGCTCAAACTCAATTCACTGCCCTCTGCATCCAGCAGCTCGCGGTCCCTGTTCTCCAGCTCCAGCTCCATCGCCTTCAACTGCTCGTCCAGTTCCGGGTTGGTCAAGCTAGCCTGGTGGAATGGTGCGTGCTTATATAGCGCACTCAAGATCGCCCTCAGGTCGGTATCTGCTTTGCTTGTTCGTTCGGCAATTACATCATGAGCCGACGTCGCGGTAGATTCGTAGTGGCTCTGCAGCTTCTTGCTCCGCTCAAGCTGAGCTTGTTGCAGAGTATCCTGCAGGCTTTCAATGTTGTCGTGACTGAATGATATGCCCGCATAACGAAGCGCGTCTTGCAGTGTTACCGGAAGGTCGAGCGATGATGTAGGCTTGAGCTTCACCATGGGTGTAAAGGCCGACGTGTCAGACCTCATGCGCTTCAACACCGGCGTTCCAACCGGTGGGTGTGTCTCTGGTATACGCTTCGCTGCTGCTGCTTGGACGTGCGCGAGTGCTTGTTGGAACTCGTCAGTGTCCTTTGTGCCAGTAGTGACTATGTTGAGACGTTTGCCCATATACTCGAGGGTTGACAGCACCTAGTCTGTTAGCAATATTCCAATGACACTTGAGACGTACTTACATAGTTGAGCCAAG